CGGAAAATTTCGGTCCAAATCCTACGGAAAATTTCGGACCAAATCCTACAGAAGCGAAGCTGAGCTTCCGTGGCTGCTGCTTGACTCAGTCGCGGTGACCGCCGAACCGGAATTCTTCTCTTCCCCCACGAGTTTTAGCCATCATCAGTCGGAATTTCAACAGAGGGAAGCGAGAGAGAGAGATTGGGATTCTAGGGTTAGAAAATGAAATCGATGTGTTTAAAACGGCGAGTCAAACAAACTTCGCTAATTAATTGTAAAGTCAACAAAAACTTTATGATTTAAATGTCTTCATCGTAGTCCAAGATTAAATCGTCCCAAATTTGAAAGTTCATGACTTTTTTGACATTTTTCCCAATCTAGATTTGGGAGTTGCTTTCTTTTTTGGTATGAAAAGGGAGTCTAGCTCCCATTTATTAAAATAAAAAGAAAATTAAAACTACGAGCATACTCGTCTTGGGCGCGCAGACCCAATAACGTCGTCGCTAAGTAACGAATCAACAACATCCGGAACAACAATACAAGAATGAAAACCAATAGACAAGGAAAAAACATAATTAGCTAACCCGTCAGCTAGAAGATTTGGGAGTTGCTTTGTGAAAAGAACCTCTTTTAAGTTATACTTAAGGTTTAAAATGATTGCTTCGGTTTTCATTATTTTCCAATTAGTAACGGATTTCTTAAAAGTTCATCTATTTACAGTTGTTAATTTAATTTTGAATACTAAGTAGAAACCAAAGGCTAATGCGATACTTTAAACGAGTATTGACTAGCACATCATATCGACTTCGTGTGGGGTATTACAGATTCCATCTGGTTGGTTGCTTCAATTTATGCACGTCACAAACTAGCACATCATAACCTTCAAAGGGGCAATCTATTAACTTCTTAGAAATCTATAAGGAAATTAGAAAATTTATGGGTGACAACTGCCCCCTACTTACCATATGTAGATCCGCCCCTGTACCTCATGTTTTTCGTGGAGTTTCTTGAATGGCTAAAGATTACCGGGGAAGATGAGATGCAAGGATGCTACTATAGGAGACATTAAGTCTAACAAGCTCCAAATAAGATGGAATTCCTTATGTTTACCAAAAAAAAAAAAACTAATGAAGTAATTATGGATCTTCAGAGGTTTTGAAATTCATCTTCAAATCCGTCCATACTTATTTCTTTTTAATAAAAACCACGAAATAGCGAACATATTTTAATTTGATTACAATTGCCAAATATGCTTGTATTGATCCAAATAAACTTTTAAATTTTAATAAAAAGGAACTAGAACGTCTAAATCCAACTAACTTGAACTGCATTTTTGGTTCTTGATAGCCTACACAAATATTTGACTTCTATTAGAAAATTCGATACCAAAAATCTACATTTAAATGAAGTCATTTTTAATTGAATCCTTCTTCCACATTAGATATAGTTCTCATATCCACTTCTCTTACAAGGGACCAGCAAGAGAAATTGAGGTGGTAACTAGTAATCACCCAGTAGCTTATCTCTGTTTGCTAAAATCTAACAAAGTCTCACATTTGAGGTTACCATTTTTTCTGTTTAGTTTTGCAGGCTTAATACTTTATATCTTTCTCAACTATCCACTGATGCAAGAAAGGTTCCTAGCTCAAATGGACTTACTATCTAAGATTTGACATCAAGAGAAATGGAACAAACCATTATTCAGCTCAACTCTCTTTTGGTAAACTCCAATAACTGTGACTAGCTAAGGTAATTTGACCTGATTTTTTTTTCGGTCTAGGTGGTTCTAACAATGATTCCAAGTTACTTAAGTATTTGAGAGATAGTCATGTTGCATATTTAGTCATAAGTTATTGAATTTCTTATTTGGTATTTATATCAGGAGAATCAATAAGGCACTAAAAACAACTATAACCTCTTACATTAGGCCTTACAAAATTACAGGTATAAATATGAATAGTGATATGGGGTTGGATTAAAACATCACATCGTTTCTATGAAGTCAACTTGTCAAGGGCTATAAAATAAACTGCTTTACAAGTTGGGATTGCTATTGTTTGGCTTGTTGTTATAAGATTCTCTTCCAGAGAGGACAATGAGGATGCGATCAAGTATATCCATATAAACCGCCAAAGGGTACTAAAGGCTAAAGGTAATTTCTTAGAATGAAATCAAATGAAATTAGAAGGTTGACGAGAAAACACTTTCTGAACTAGCCATTACCACCCACCATGTCTCTGTTATAGATCTAGTTAGCCAATACAATTTGCCAAGTAGACAAGTAGTGTATCTACTTGGCAAGTGTGAGACATTGAGACTTTCAAAAGTCTTCTCTTTTGTCTTTTTTTTTGGTATCACTAGTCACCAGGGGCGGACCCATTCAGGGGAAAGGAGGGTCAAGTGACCTGGGTAAAATAATTATATTTGTGTTTATGTATTAGAGTTCTTAAAAAGCAAGCAGCAGTTTTGGTAATTTTATGCTTATTGACACCCCATTACCCATGTTCGATTCCCCAGTTTGACACTTTTTGATAAATTTATCTCCTTTCTTTTGTTTTATATAGCTTTTTGTTGGTCGAAAAGTAGTGAAAACCACAATATTTTTTCCAGATTCATTGTACTTGAATAATATTATTATGCCATATACTAAATAATATAGTTTTATATTTAAATGACCCGGGTAAATATTTTTTCTGGGTCCGCCATTGCTAGTCACTACCTTTATTATATATATCATTAATTGATGTATGTTGTGATGGCAATACAATAATGGTTACAATGACTTCACACGTTGCTCTTCTACTATTTTCGATTCTTCTTTTTCTTCTTCTAATCAGGGGACAAGGTGAATCGTTCCAATCCCCGGTTACGTCACGAATCGGCGCATTACCTTCAAATTCACGTAGAGGTCAAGGTCCGTAGCAAAGTCTGGCTAATAAATGAAGGAGAAGAGATGAGTAGTAACTTAAAGTTGCATGTCCAAATAATGTCTACTATTTATTTTTAAGGAAATATATATTATGCTGGTACGAGTTACGTTGTTCATTGTTTTAGCCTTCCATGTTAACTACTTTCTAAGGGTTATGTGATCATAATACATAAAGTCTATCTTCTAACCCGAAAAAAAGAAAGGGAAAAAAGTCTTTCAATGTTTTCTTTCGTTGAATATTTGAACTCTAAGGAGTAATTGTTTCGAACCATCGTTAATTGTTTAACTAAACTAGGTTTTCGTACTTCATTTGTAGTTAAGGATGTTTAAGCCATCATTTACGTTAGGCATAACGGCCGATACCAACACCAACATCCGGAGCCTGTGACTATATATTACTGTACCAGAAATTGATAATCGTGTTACAACGGTTCGAAATAGTCATCGGAGAAACGAGCCGTGATGCCGTCAATATGACCGTCAACTGTGCCGACGTGGTGTTGCCTAATGTGCCATGTCCATGTGACGGTTCGAAAAACATTGGGCTTAATGGGCCTACAGAAAACATACTAAACCATAGTTAATGGCACATGGACTTGATCTTTTTTTTGGGTTTAATGTGCCGAAAAAACATACTAATAGGGAACGAAAAACCATGATTAATGGCACATGGACTTGACCTTTTTTTGTGTGTTTTTTTTTTCCGGGACTTGACCTTTTAACAAGAAACGATAAGTCTTTGAAGAAACGATAAGTCTTTGAACTGGTAAGTCTTTGAACCGAGAAGATGAAGGTCAAGTCCATGCGATAAGTCTTTGGACATGAATCATATACCTAAATGATAAATCATTACCCCTAACAACACCTTGTTACCTTGTATATCATTTTTTAATATATTTTTTTTGATACAGTGTGAATTCTATAACCAAAATTGGAACAAAGTTATTTACAATAGGTTGGGGGCAGGAGCTTCTATGGCCAAAAAAGTTTAAAGCAACTTAGAGAACTAGTACAAAGAAACATGAGTTTATTAAGCGTGCGAAAACAATTAAGAGAGCAGATGTCTGTACAACCTTTGCGATACCGTCTAGCTAGAAGAGTGTCTCTGATGCTTATGCTAATCTGCCGAAAGATCAAACTTGTGATGGCTACGTTAAAGGAATACAAAAGTAAGAATAGACATATTTACATAGAAATTAAAAAAACATAAAGAAGAAGATTTTCCAGTTTATTTTTGGGGGTTGTTTGATTAAACAAGCATTTCTAAAAAGAGAGGAAACAATAGGCTAATGATGATGTCTTATGCTGGATGAGTTGGGGGACTACAAGGTGGCTTCTTATAAGGTTCCTTTTTTTGGGGTCCCCTTTTTGACTTGCTTCGCTTCACTCTTGCTTTCATTTGGACAACAATTTCATTACTCCTATTTTCATCTCCTTCTCTATTCCCTAATTAATGTTTTAGAGAAATTAAAGCAAAGCACAAAAGAGTTATGAGTCTTGCATACAAAAGAAAAGAACTAGGCTCTAGGCTCTCATCCGATTGTATGATCTACCTAAACCTAAAAAATCGCTTAACATACTTAGTCGATGTTATTTATTGGTTCCGGATTTGACTTACCGAGCTTCCGATGCTTTGGTTGTTTGGTCGATATTGCTTCTACTTGTCCGAAGAAGAGAGGAGACAAAAGGAGCAAAGCTACGATGAGAATTACGAAGAATGGTGCCTTTCTTGTCATTGTATATCTTGCTGTCCAAAAAGCTTATAATTTTCTAACTTATTCAATATAGTTTTATAGTTAAAAATATCCACCTACCCAACTTGATTTCACACTATAATGTTGAAAGCAATGAACTCTCGCACACAATATTCAAAAATGTCATACTTGCCCTCACGCGTAACTTATCGAGATTTCCAAAACATAAGCCAGTCAGATAGTTTATGGACACATACATGATACATTGATATAAGTAACCACGACAGCTGTGGTTTAAGGTCTCTGAAATTTTTGTAGTTTATTTTTTTTTTTTTGTTAAAAGGTATTCAATTGTTATAAATAAGTGCCCAATGGGCTATTTCCGGATATAGGCTCACTCTAAATCCCAAAGGCCCAACCCACAAACATCAATCCACTAACAAAATAATCAAAAACCGAAAACCGGCTCGGGTTCACAAACCGAACTAAACCGGGCATGTGTTGAAACCCTAATCTCCTATCAAAGAACATGATCGGAGCCGCCGTCCAAATCTGCAGATTCTCGCCGGAACACAACCTCCGGTGAGCCTGGACGACGCAAGCCGAACGAGATGGTGATCCAAGATCCGTTTCCATCCCGCCACCGTAGAGAAGTATTGAGAAGGAGGAAGAGATACGATTTCGTCTTTGTCGAGGAGATCCTTGCTCGGACGTGAGAAAGAGGAACAGTAGGGAGTAGAAAAAGAGACCGACGACGGTGGCTTAGCTTCGCTGGATCGGAGCCTACCTCCCCCATCGACTAAGATCCCGTGAAACCTCCAAAATCTCCGGTCCCAAGATCTAACTGTTTGTCTCTCTCGTTCCTCACCGCAGATCTCCGTCTTCCACTCTGCATCGCTACACCGCCGGTAGAGCTCTTACCGTCGGTGTCGGGCAGAAGCTTCTCCCCTCCACTTCTCCCTTGATTCTGGTCAGATTGCTTTGACAGAGAGATGCAGCAGGTTACGGATGAAGAACCATGAGCCTTGGGGTCCTCATCGTCGCCGGAATCGACGGAGAACCCGACCACCGGCGCAAGGGATTGTGATCAGAAGAGGAAGAAAAATTGAGAGAGAAAAATCGCCGAGAGTGAGATCCACGCGCGCGATTTCTTCTCTCCCGTTTCAAGATAACTTATTATTAATTTTTTGTAGTTTATTTTCTAGTTCTAGTTACAAAAACTATACTTTCACCATCATGAGAGTTCTATTTAATTGATTATATTTTCCTCTTTGTTACTCTTTTTATTGCTTCAATATCTATTTATGTTAGATGATTCCTATTGTAATATATAATTTGAGATGTAAGGTATATATAAACATAAATAAAGATAAAGATACTGAAAATGTTAAATTTCTTGATTCCGTACGTACTTTTTTTTTATATTTGATATAAAAAGAAAGTTGACTTTTATAGAGAAAGATCAAAGGAAATTACACGAAGGCTTGGCAAACAAGTCATGCTAGAGAAAGTCAAGTAGACGAATAATTTTGATTGACAAACTAAAGCCTCATTACAGCTGTTGCCATTTCCTCATATATTCCTAAATAAAAATGTTCACCTTCACAAGTGAGTGCACCTTATTTCCCGTAAAAAAGCTCTACTAGAGTCGCAACAACGAATTCCTTTGAGCTCTGATCTACAATAGGCACCTTATTGCAAAACTAGACCTAGGCCCGGCCCAAAGCAGGAACCCAACAAGCAAGGACTTCTGGCACCAATTTTTATTTACGATTTTAGGGTCATCACTTCAATGAATGTTCCTTAGTGTAGTAGTTAAGCAACATGCGCTATAACTATAAATCAAGGTTCGATTACCTCCAGGTTTTTTTTTGTTAGATTAAATAGAAATACAATTATTTACTAAATAATTTAACTTCAGAAACCTAATTTTCTCTAGGGGTGACGATTTGTATACGTCGTAGTTCTCCATCACCATCAAAACTCTATCATTTCAGCTTCTTCTCCACCTTAATCTTTGACAATAGTTTTTTTTTTTCTAACTTCAATCTCTGTTATTTACTCATATATGTCTTCTTCTATTTCTCTTTTCTTTCTTATCAAGTTTATCAATCTCTATCATTTCCCAATATCAAGTTTAGAGGTTTTTTGCTTGTTAATAATTTTTTCGGTTCAACTCTTATAAACAAATTAGGTTTCATGTTATTTTATTATGCGAAAAAGAAAATTTGGGGCATCAATTTTTGGTTTACTTTAAGCATCAAATATCATCGGATAGACCCAATAAACCCTAGAGAACTTCTCCATTACCGAGCTTCCAATGCTTTGGTTGTTTGGTCGATATTGCTTCTACTTGTCCGAAGAAGAGAGGAGACAAAAGGAGCAAAGCTATTTTGAGAATTACGAAGAATGGTGCCTTTTCTGCCAAAAAAATTCAATATAGTTTTATAGTTAAAAATATCCACCAACCCACCTTGATTTCACACTATAATGTTGAAAGCAATGAACTCTAATTCTTCTCCTAGATCTGAAACCCTAATTCTTGATTTCTGTAGTTTTTCTGCTTAAAATCACAGGTTTGTTTTGTTTTTCTCTTAAACTTTCATACTTTCATTCATTTCATCCAACATTTACACAATACAACTTATAGAGATTTCTTCTACTCACTACAACCACTCTCTTAGACTCTAAACTTGGTCACTATTGACCTTACCTCTAGACTTAGTATTACAAGCAACCTTACACAACCTTACCTTGGTCACTATTGACCTTACCTCTAGACATTTATCTAAAAAAAAAAAAAAAAAAAAAAAAAAAAAAAACCTTACCTTAGCCACTTAACAACCCCAACTACTCTAGCTTAAGTACTTTAGCTAGAATAAAACACATAAGCTAATTCTACTTTGGGCCACAAGGAAACATACTTCACCACTTTTTGGGCCTATACTAATTTCATCAGCCCAATAAGACAAACCACAAAAACCCACTTCTCTTGTTGACGTTTCTTCTTCTTCTTCTCACGTCTTCTCTCGTCTTCTCTCTTACGACCACTTCGTCTTCTTCTTCTAGTTTCCAATCTTCTTGTTCTTCATCATCGTTTGACTCAACTCTCAACAATTTCGCTATGGAGTCCGTCGAATTGAACAATTCCAATCCCAATTCGCAAACCCTAGATCAACCTCCTCCTTCCTCCAACGGAGACACTGCTCAGAATTCGGATTCTGTGGCTTTAAACGGTTCTTCTACTCCTACACCTGATACTAATGGTTCATCAGCAAAGCCTGAGTTCTTGCGTCCTTTGCTATCGGAGAACGATAAGGATCAGTCTGGTGGAGAGGAAGAAACTACGAGCAGGAGGAAGCGTCGGAGCCGGTGGGATCCTCCGCCTTCTGAGTCGGGTACTGGAACTAGGAAGCGTAAGTCGCGATGGGCAGATGATGAGCCCAAGCCGCAGATTCAGTTACCTGATTTCATGAAGGATTTCACTGGAGGTATTGAGTTCGATCCTGAGATTCAGGCTTTGAATAGTAGGTTACTTGAGATTAGTAGGATGTTGCAGTCTGGTATGCCTTTGGATGATAGACCGGAAGGACAGAGGTCTCCTTCACCAGAGCCTGTGTATGATAATATGGGAATTAGGATTAACACTAGAGAGTATAGAGCAAGGGAGAGGTTGAATAGAGAAAGACAAGAAATCATTGCTCAGATTATCAAAAAGAATCCGGCTTTTAAACCTCCAGCAGATTATAGGCCTCCTAAGCTCCACAAGAAGCTTTTCATTCCAATGAAGGACTTTCCTGGTTACAATTTTATTGGTCTCATTATTGGCCCCAGAGGTAATACTCAGAAGAGGATGGAGAGGGAGACGGGTGCTAAAATTGTTATTAGGGGTAAAGGATCTGTAAAAGAAGGTAGGCATCAGCAGAAAAAGGATTTGAAATATGACCCTTCTGAGAATGAAGACTTGCATGTTTTAGTTGAGGCTGACACTCAGGATGCTCTTGAAGCTGCTGCTGGTATGGTTGAGAAGCTTTTGCAACCTGTTGACGAAGTCTTGAACGAGCACAAGAGGCAACAGCTCAGGGAACTTGCTACCTTGAATGGAACAATAAGGGATGAAGAATTCTGTAGACTGTGTGGTGAGCCAGGACATAGACAGTATGCATGTCCTTCTCGTACCAATACCTTTAAGAGTGATGTTCTTTGCAAGATTTGTGGTGATGGTGGACACCCTACTATTGATTGCCCGGTGAAGGGTACTACTGGGAAGAAAATGGATGATGAATATCAGAACTTCTTAGCAGAGTTGGGAGGAACTGTACCTGAATCTTCTCTCAAACAGAGTGCTACCCTGGCTCTTGGTCCGGGAAGTTCGGGAAGTAATCCTCCATGGGCTAATAATGCAGGGAATGGTGCAAGTGCGCATCCTGGCTTAGGGTCAACTCCGACCAAACCCCCCTCCAAAGAATATGACGAAACAAATCTGTACATTGGGTTCTTACCTCCGATGCTTGAGGACGATGGTTTGATTAATCTTTTTTCATCCTTTGGTGAAATTGTGATGGCAAAGGTAATCAAGGACCGTGTGACTGGGCTGAGCAAAGGCTATGGTTTCGTGAAGTACGCTGATGTGCAGATGGCTAATACTGCTGTTCAGGCAATGAATGGCTATCGGTTCGAAGGCCGAACTCTCGCTGTCAGGATTGCAGGTAAATTGCCACCGCCTACTGCACCTCCAGGACCTCCAGCACCAACTCAAGGTTTTCCTCCCTCAAACCAGCCTCCTGGTGCCTATCCTTCTCAACAGTATGCAACTGGTGGTCAACTGCCAAATCCTCCTGTAGGTTATTCAACAGCTCCAGTTCCTTGGGGTCCTCCTGTTCCCTCCTATTCTCCATATGCTACTCCCCCTCCTCCTCCTGGTTCTTACCATCCTGTCCATGGTCAACATATGTCTCCTTATGGAATGCAATACCCACCACCACCACCTCATGTGACACAAGCACCTCCACCTGGCACTACTCAAAACCCCTCTTCTAGTGAACCCCAGCAAAGCTTCCCACCAGGAGTACAAGCTGACAGTGGTGCTGCTACGTCTGTACCACCAAATGTCTATGGTAGCTCAGTCACGGCTATGCCTGGACAGCCTCCATATATGAGTTATACGTCTTACTACAATGCTGTTCCCCCTCCACCACCTCCAGCACCGGCCTCGTCTACTGATCATTCCCAAAACATGGGTAACATGCCATGGGCCAACAATCCTCCTGTCTCAACACCTGATCACTCACAAGGTCTTGGTAATGCATCTTGGGCACCTAATCCTCCTATGCCGCCCACTGTTGGCTATTCACAGAGCATGGGGAACGTACCCTGGGCTCCCAAACCTCCAGTACAGCCACCTGCAGAGAATCCATCCGGTGTTGGAGATTCTGAGTATGAGAAGTTCATGGCTGAGATGAAGTAGCATGTGTGTTCTGATGAGAAACTCCGTAGTGGAGAGGTAAAATGTCCTCATTTGATGTTATTGTTTGTTCTCCATACAGGTTTTGAAATTAAAATTTGAAATCGAATCAAGTGAAATCGAATCAAGTGGTAAAACTTTACTTCCTCAACTTTTCCAACGTTTTCAAATTGCTTTTTTCTTTTAACATCATTTTTGCAACATCATCAGTTGCAGGATGAACCAAGTCCTGCAATATCGTGTTGCGTGATACTACCATTTTGTCCATTATTTTGTTCTTGAAAGCCTTCCTGCTTATGTAATTTATCTGTTCCTAGTTTTATCACATGATAACTAACTGCTCTAGCTCATAATTTGGTCACTGATGTGTTTGTGAGCATGCCGCAGCTAAAGGAGCACATGTCCTGGTATTCGATTCTGAAACATAGAATCTGGGAGTTGGATGTTCGAATTTTGTCAGTTACCCTTTTTGCTCTATGTTTTGTTCAGTAAACTAATACTGTGTTTTCTGTCCCACATGGAAAGCATTTGTTTTCACTTCTAAGTTTTTCCATCTGACAACATCTAAACTGCCACTAGCATAGATTCCAAAAGTTTGTTATTATATACGGCTCTTAACACGAATTTTTGTTTTGTTGATATTGTTAATTTTTTCAGGTGTGATGTTTCTTGGAGGTCTTGTACCCTGATTTCTTACATCTTTCTTGTTGGAAGTTTGGGACTCACATCTTAACCCTTGCTATGCTGTTGTGAAATATGCAGAGATTCAGGCTGGAAGCTCCCGGTTCAGACAATCAGAAAGGCCATAAGAATTTTATTAATGTTACTGATAATAATTGCTGCTCTTTTGTAGGACTATATTCATGTCTGGGGTTCTTGTTTCATTTCATAATACTCATATTTACCGTTGATCAGTGTGTTAAGCCTAGTCTGCTTCAGCTCTCACAATTTCTTATGTACTGTTTCAATTTGGGACTAAAAAACTTTTGGTGGTATTGTAGTCCTTTGTGATGCAAGATATGACCCTCTTACTCTTGAGGTCATCTCTTTCGTTTATCTTGTCTCTTGTGTGCATAGGGAATTCATCAGTTCTCGCAGGAACCTGAAGGCAACAGGGGTATGTTGAACTACATTGGACATATTTACCACTGATACTTGATGGTTATTCTCCACTTTGATTCAGACTTGTATTACTGATATAATAATATCTTTCAAGCTTCCATGTGGCAGGTGTGATTTCTGGCTAGTGATCCAGATTTTAACTTTAATAACATTGTTCTTGTTTTCAAGCTTGATCTATATCTGTCTAAATGATGACATGCGTGCGTCGGCATACTTTTGGTAGAAAGCTTTGTGATAAGTTGAGCATAGAAGAATTAGAGTAAACTGTCTCAAGAGTGTTGCATATTGATTACCGGATTGCTTACGTTAACCATTTTGGTAACTAGGGATGTTGGCAGTCGGGAGCCTATTCGTATGGAGGATGTTTACAAATTGGCAATCGGGAGCCTTTGTCTGAGCTAACAAGATTTCTCCTAATAGGATTATCGTCCTATACAACAACTAGATCGAATAAATCTGTTCAATATTTTCTTACGAGTTTCATGTATAAATTAAAACAAGAATATCTAGGTGATAAATAATAAAATGTTGTATGGATATTTTATGGTAGAATTGGATAGAGACGTTTATGTCTTCGGCAATATCATATGATAAACGAGATCTTGCAACTTTAGTTTAGTTCAAGAATCCGACCATATATATTAACTAAGAAATATATAGAGTCAGAATTTAGTTTAAGGCAAGATAGAACATAAACATCACAGGGTAACAGCAAGGATGAAATAACTTGCAAAGGGATCAAAACAAGATTGGAATACAAGATTATATTTCTCCTCTATAGCCACCAGAGCCAAAATAGTCTTTTCTAGAGTTAGATATGGCCACACTCTTCTGGTGCTCAAGTTTTGGACAGTCTCGAATACGATGTCCAAGACCACCACAATACGCACAACCCTTGACACCACTTGCATTCGCAATGGTCTCTGCTTCTTCCATTGGATCATTCAGCTCAGCAAGGACAGGTGGAATCCTCTGTTTAGCTTCTTGCAACAAGTGTTTCAAATCGAGCAGCGTCGTTTCGCTTTGATTCTTGTTTATAAATGTAGTTGCTATCCCAGTTTTCCCACACCGACCTGTTCGTCCTATCCTATGCACATAGTTCTCAATCTCTGCTGGCATGTCGTAGTTGATTACGTGTTGTATATCAGGGAAATCTAGACCCTTTGAAGCAACATCAGTTGCGACCAACACATCTTTTTTCCCAGCTTTAAACGAAGAGATTGCGTACTCTCTGTCTTCTTGATCTTTCCCTCCATGGATGGCCACTGCTTCCACTCCTTTCAGTAACAAGTACTCGTGAATATCATCAACATCAGCTTTGTTCTCACAGAATATTAAAACCGGTGGAGAGGTTTTCTGTAGACACTCGAGGAGGTAAACAATCTTTGCTTCTTGTTTGACGTATTCTACCTCCTGGATCACATCGAGATTCGCAGCTCCAGCTCTTCCTACATTAACAGTCACAGGTTTCACCAGAGCACTTCTGGCAAAGATTTGAATCTTTGTGGGCATTGTGGCAGAAAACAAAAGTGTTTGACGTTGAGACTTAAAGTGGTCAAAGACTTCCCTTATGTCATCTTCGAAACCCAAATCAACCAACCTATCTGCCTCATCTAGTGTCAGGTACCTATAATAAGGAAAAAAAGGAAGGTAAATATTATTGCCATCGAACATTCTCAAGATTTTGAAATTAAATGGCACAGCCTCAAGACTCCAAAGACAAGAAAGATGCATTCAGAAAGGAACACGAGTGCGGAAAATTTATTCATGAGAGAAAAAACCCTATCGAATCACACAATAGAGAACATATAGAGCAAAGAAGCTCTAAGCTGCAAACAGACCCTAGACAATTCTATTGATCTCTCCCGTTTCCCAGGCACAATAAACCAAAAAGAAACAGATATCCACAAGAATCTAGCCAAGTGCAAAAGGTCAGAAAACGAGAATATAAGATCAAACAAGGCAGCACAGAGAGAAGACGCAAACATATATTACAATCAGGTTGATTAATCATATTGAAAAGAACCAAAGAAGACGAACTAGAGTCATACCTGCAAGCATCTAAGCTCATCTTTTTCTTGGCGAGCATATCCTTTAACCTCCCAGGGGTTGCAACAACGATGTGGACACCTCTCTTGACAACCTCCAACTGGGATCTCATATCAATTCCACCAATACATAGCAACGACCTCAATGGCGGGTATCCAGCCTCGACCAAAGGAGCCACAAACTGCTCAACCACTTCATAAGTCTGCCTAGCAAGCTCTCTAGAAGGGCAAACAATAAGCCCAATAGGACCTTCTCCCGCAGCAATAGGCATCATCATCTCTTCCTGGAGAGCAATCATGATCATGGGAAGCACGAAAACCAAAGTCTTTCCAGAACCAGTAAACGCAATCCCAATCATATCCCTCCCAGCCAAAATCACAGGAAGACCCTGAACTTGAATAGGAGTAGGCTGCACAATTCCTTTCTCCTTAAGGGTATCAAGAACAGGTCTAGGAAACTTCATATCCTTAAAGTTCTTGATAGGAGGAGGAATATCATCACCATTAACAATAATATGCCATTGCTTCCTAATAAAATCTCTCTGCTTATTCGACATCTTCCTAATATGCAAAGGAGGTTTCCACCCAGTTAAGAGAGGCTCTGTATAAGTGATACCTTTGGCCAATTCACGAACAGACATAAGCGTCTTCTTATCAGATAAATGCTCCATCATCTCTTTCTCTTGTAAGATGATTTGCTCAGTAGCACTAACTTGAGGAACATCTCGCTTGAGCTGAGTTGCTTGAACGAGTAAACTAGGTTTAGCTTCAGCGAGCTTTTCCTTGTCAGCTTCTTCCTCCAATTCCAAAGCTTTTCCCTTCCGTTGAAGTATCTTCTGCGCTTCCATCGCTCTCCGCTCCGCCACTGAAACATACTCAACGTAACTATCGTCCTCTTCCATGATGGATTCAATATCGAGAATTCAGCAACCTAGTAGAAGAGCCTCAAAGCCTGAAATCAACAAATTTTTGCAGATCTCTCGAATCAATCGCTAATACGGGTGACACAGAGGCTCAAAGACAAACTTCAAGACAGAAGCTAATTAACAATCATCATAATATATGAAAGAACTTCAAGACAAACTTAATGTAGATGTCAAAAAGAGAGTAGCTCTAGCTTAATTATTTACCTGCTGAAGTAGCTCTAACTTTGTCAAACTCCACAGTCTGAAGTAGCTCTAGCTTTGAAGTAAATTTTTAGAGCAAGGTCATTATCCACAGTCTGAAAGAGAAAACAGAAACTTCTTAGATGCTACACTAAAAGAGTTTTAAGTTAAATAGAAGCTGAATCATTCTTGAGATCAACCTCCACAATGAGTACTATAAAGAAAGCTAGAAACTTTACATTATTTAACCACAAGAGCTGCAATACGACCACAATTACAACATGCAAGTGCTAAATTAAGCAGAGAAATTATAGCATGTAACTGAATAGAAGTAAAGAACTGTTGAAACCAAGGAATTAAAATTGGAGAAGAGAACCCATCACAGCAAAACACATCTGAACAGAGAGTAGAGAAAAGAAAGAGAAATGAGAAAATCATACTCTGATTGGTCTCCTGATATAGAAGATGGACTTCGTTCTTTAGAATCTGAAACAAAAAAAACCAAATCAATCACATGAATAAACCAGAAGTGTCAAGTAATAAGTTCCAATTATTATCAATGGACTAAGTGAAATACTAAACTGAACAAAGACTTCAAAATTTTCCAATTCTCATCAAAGTACCAAACGAGATAATTATTAGATTCAGGCCAAACCACAGAAGAAGAATAGAGTTCACTCATAAAAAGAATAACAATGCCAAAAAGAAGAATAACACAGAAGAAAAAGAGCATTCAAATGAGAGTCTCTGAAACTAAGCTATCACATGGAGTAACTTTGCTAATTAGAGTAAAAGAGGACACAGGAACTTGCAAAAGAATTGTTACCAAAAAAAAAAAAACTTACAAAAGAAGACACAGATATCTGCTTGAATATTTGCAGAGAGAAACCAAACATATCACATGATTAAAGAATATCTATACTAACGTTCAGGATCCTAATCCATCTCATATCTATACTAACGTTCATGATACTAATCTCATTTCTATACTAACGATGAACTATATTTTACACAGATATTCCTTGATATCTATACTAATCTCTATACTATTCTAAACTAACGATGTATCTTCTTCCTTCATATCTATACTAATCTCTATACTATTCTAAACTAAAGATATATCTTCTTCCTTCATATCTATACTAATCTCTATACTATTCTAAACTAACGATGTATCTTCTTCCTTCATATCTATACTAATCTCTATACTATTCTAAACTAAAGATGAACTAAGCCAATTTTGCTCACAAACCCAGAAAACCCAAAACCAAGCTCAAAGAGCAACGATTTGATGCAGAACATGAAGAACCAAGTTCAAAATGTAAGAAATCAAAACCTTGGAAAGAAGAAGGGCTTATTAAGATATGAGTAGGAACTAGCTTGGAGTTGTCGGTGTGTTCCGAGTTTAAACTCTGAATCTCATTCTTCTGAAATTTAACAAAGAATCAGCCATAAGCCAAAACTCAAAGAACCCACAATAGAGATTAGAGAGAAAAGCCCAGAAAGCAAAACCTTAGAAATCAATTTTGATATTGCAAAAGGGAAAATTAGAGAAATTACTTCGACTTTGGCTGGAGGAGTAGAGGTTTCCGGTGGTGGATCTTCGGCTTGGAGTGATGATTCCGGCAAAGAAAGAGGAAGTTCCGGTGGAGTTTGTACTGTGACGAATCGGAGAAAGTTTCTCTTTCGCCTCCGACGACGAATCTGTGATGGAGGAGTAATTATTTACAAAACATAAGGGCATTTTTCGCCATTTTACGCTTTTAGTCGCAACTTTTCCAATCACATCGCCAATTTACCCTGCGATCAAAAATTTCAGTCGCAGATCGCAACAATTGATCGCATCGTTTAGTCGCAGGTTTCTGCGACTGCTAAACGAACAATTTTCAGTCATAATCGCAGTCGCATGTTGCCAAACGAACAACCCCTATGTATGCACCAGTAAAAAAAAAACGTGAATAATTACTATTTTACTAAAAAGTCAAAAACATAGTAAAACAGAAAATTTTATCCCTCTTCGAAATAAAGTTTTCTTCTCTCTATTTCTTCTTTAGAATTTTACTCATTTCTTCTCATGTTTTTTACGAGTCAGACCTAATATATTTTAGTAATATTTTTGAGAAAGAAAAAAAATTAGTGATTTTCTTTTTTAGCACAAAACTCATTTTAGAAGTATTTATGAGATTAAAAAAAAAGTATTTATGAGAATTGCCCACAAATTTACTCAATTTTTGGGTTTTACTTTAATATTATTTCACTTTAGGGAAAAGTTAATTAACAACAGTCTTCAATTCATGCAAAGTCTTTAACCGTGTCCCCAACCTTCTCGAACTTTTCTCTAATCCTCAAATAATCCCCACATTTAAATGACCGAAATATCATCATATCCTCACAACCTCCCACCACTTTATTAGGGGCAAATACGACTTTTCCATCGTCGAAACACCAAAAAAAGGCAAGTGAGAATCTATTACCAACGAAACCACGTCATTTCAAGACAACTCTATGTTGAGACGATCTCAACCGTCCATTGGTCCATGCATGCAATAGATCTCCGACATTGACGACAAGAGCTTCGTCTTTAGGATTAATATCCATCAGACCAATCCCATCTCTGGTTCTGACTTGAAGACCTCCGATGTCATCTTGATCAACGATCGTGATGCAACTCATGTCAGTGTGCGTTCCTAGCCCTTCGATCAAATCTTGATCATTGTCGTTGTGGTGATCATCTTCTTGTTCTGAAGGGATTGTGTACTTGTTGATCTTGAAGTAGCCATGATAATTTCCAAACTCAGATTCCTAATATTTGTGATGAAGATCGCCTCCGAAGCTAGAGAGGATTGCTTTCATTATCTTCTCGCATAGTTCCCTCAAACCATCTTCCTCCGATTTAGCTTCAACTTTAGCTTCTTCATATTCTTCATCGTGTTCGTTTTGAGCTTGAGAACTGTGATGCGACACAAAGGCTCTTGATACCTGAAGAGGTGGTCGTTGTTGATTCACGGTTGGAGACTGAATCGGCCTTGGAGACTGAACCGGCGCTGGAAACTGAACTGCGTGAGGAGATCCGGAGGCTAACTGATGAACAGAGGAGACAGAGCCTTTGACTTGAGTCGATCTGGATGATCGAAATGGAGTCGATCCAGAGTCTCAAGGAGATCCAGATGCGTGAGGAGATCCGGATGCTGCTGAGGAGGTGGATAATCTCTGTGACTAGGATTTTGCTCATACTCTAGAATTGGAGCTTGAGGGTTTGCCGGCGTGAAGTCTTACTGTGAGGAAAAGCTTATAGGTCTTCGATTCGACACACCGGAAAAAGTGGGTCGACTTGGGATAGTGGGTCGCTTTGCCGGAGACTTCTGTCCCCTTCCTCTTCCTCTTCCCCTTCCTTTTCCACCATGAACACGAGGAGCCATCGGAGAGATTGATGAAGATTGAGAGAAATGAAAGAGAATCGAAGAGAAAAAAAGAGAATCAGAGCGATTGAGAGAGATTGCGAGAGAATCGGAGTTGAGAGAGATTAAGGTTTGTAGGATGAAGGATTGAGAGAATTGAGAGAGGAATTGAATCGATTTGATGAAGGATTGAGAGAGAAATCGAATTAGGGTTAGGGTTCTTAGGGAGAGAAATCGAATTCGGGATTAGGGTTCGAGAAAAATGAGGAATTAGGGTTTCTTGGGTTAGGGATAGAGTATATATAGCTGGGCCAACGGGCAATTGTTACTGGATCGAGTCCAATTAAATTGCCCAATAAGAAAAATATAGTCGCTAAATCGTAGCTAATCAGTAGCTAGCTTGCTGACAAAAGAGTTCGTAGCTAGTTAGTCGCCTAATTTGGCGACTATACTAAGATTATTTTTATCAGTCTCAAATTGTAGACGGATTAACGATTATTGTAATTTAGGCAACATTCAGTTGCCAAAAAGTCGGAAAAACGGTCTATTTCCCCCCGAGAAGTATCGCATCATAACAGATAGAGCCCAATCTTTGACCCCGGTCTCAATGTCTCTGAAATGGAATTTATATTCCTATTTCCCCCCGAATCGAAAGTTCAACACCTAAATGTCCCCGAATATGGGTATCGTCGGTTTTAGTTGTAAACCCGAGACCAAACCATGTAATCCCAAAACCAAACCGATTAAATATCCGATTATATCCTGAAACCCGACCCAGTCTCGAATACAAATTTCCCATAATCGTTTTCAAAATCCAAAATCCCCAAACTTAGAACCCTAAATTTTGAAATCCTCAATATTTAGGAGTAACTCTTCTCTGTGAACTAATTGTGATTAAAGGAAAAGATGTAACTCTTCTCTGTGTTTCGACGTGGAGTTTTAAAAGATGAACGAATTGTGATTAAGGGAATTGTGATTAAGGGAAAAGATGAACGAATCCTCAATGTTTTTCGACGTGGAGTTTAAAAACTCAATTAATCTAAATAAATTAAGCATAAACTCCAATTAATTCAACTAGAAGAAATCAACCACACACAGATTTCAACTAGAAGAAACAAAATACCAGATTTGTTTATGTTTCTTCTTCTTCTTCTTCTTCCTCTCTGCATCAAATTCAGTTTCTGATCTGTTTCAGTCGTCGTTTCTCACTTTCTACGAAGATTTCCAGAGATCTAATTCCCATTTTTCCAGTTACCTTTTTTGTTCTTTTTCAAAAATTGTGGATTTGATTCTATGTTACAAATTTAGAAAATTTCTCGAGGAGATTGAATGAAATGGATTATTTCTTGAAACAATCAGATTCTTTTTGAATCATAAGAATGTTTCCCTGAAACTTTATTTTTGGGGAACAGAGATCACTGTGTTGTGTTGTTAGGCAGACAAGTTTGAGTTTCTCAAACAATGGCGAGAGGAGGGAAAGAGGAAGGAGAAAAACACATAGGGTTACTAAAGCTGGCTCAAACGCTGTCGTTTTTGCTAATATTCATGGCCGGAATCATTATCGGCCTCGCCGCAAGTTCTCACATCGATCGCTACTTCAATTCTTTGCCGAGGATGTTCTCATCAACCACTAATCTCCAATCGATTCCGTTTTCGACTCCTGATTACTCCAATTGCACAATCATCCACCGGGATTGCACAGGTAACGACGAGAACGACGACGGAGGAGGAGGAGTCAAGGCGGAGAAACCAAAGGATCGAGATTGTTGGAGCATTGATGGGGATTTCGGTTTTAAAGGATAAATCGGGTCGTAATTGGGCAGAACTCTGGTTTAATCGGGTTATAATAAGGTTTAGTTGGTTCGGTAATCGTTTTTGAATACAGTAAACCGATTAAACCAAACTCTGTGTGGTATTAGCTCTCGAACTTTCGATTCAGGGACATTTAGGTGTTGAACTTTCGATTTGGGGGAAGTAGGAATAGAACTTCCATTTCAGAGATATTGGGACCGGGGTCAAAGATTGGGCTCTATCTGTTATGATGCGATACTTCTCGGGGGAAAATAGACCGTTTTTCCCAAAAAGTCGCATTTCACTCCTAATATTTAGCGACTAATTTATCAATTAGAAATAAATCTTTAATTAGTAATCAGTTATTTTCTTTAATACTTTCATTTTATTAAAAGGCTAAAGAAACATAAGTATGTATATATGCAAACTACATACTAAAGCTGGTAATCTGGTATCCAGCCTTTCTAAAATTGGCATCCATAATTTGCTTCGCTTTAAATGGATAAACATATTTTACTATTTACTTTGTTGTAAATCATGACATATATTCGTATATTTTGGACAAATCGAATGGATCTAAAGGAAGTACGAATACAAAGTCTATCAAGACTTAAAAAGTAAACAGAAGACCGCCAAAAGTCATTAAAACTATTAAAGGTAGTTTGATAGAAAAAAATGACATAAAATTAAATGGTTGAAGGGAAAACACGTTTTTAAACATTAGCCATGGTTGATAATTTACCTCGTAATTGTAGTATTTACATGCTGTCTTATTCTCAATTGTAGATCTTGCATGTTAACCCAATTTAAATAGGAAGTAATGTGTTTATACTTGGCAATTTCGGAGACATAAAAGACTTTAAAAAGTCTTCGCTTTCTATCTTTCTCCTCTCTATACTTTTAATATATATATATCATTAACTAGTCTACGTTATGAATGCAATATAATAGTGTTTGCGATGACATCATTCATTGCTCTTCTTTTATTTTGGGTTCTTTTCTTTCTTCTTCTAGTCGCGGGACAAGGTCAAATGGTTCGTACCCCGGTTATGTCACGAATCCATGCACCACCTTCAGATTCACGTAGAGGTCAAGGTCCGTAGCAAAGTCCTAATAAACGAAAGAAAAAAGTGGTAACTTTAAATTTTATGTCCAAATAATCTCTTGTATCTTGTCCTTAAAAGTTTTTAAAAATATATTATCTTGTACATAAAAACGAAAGTGTGGATGGAATATGCAAGTTGTTGTCCTTGTCCATTATTGTAGTCTTGCATAGTTGCATGTGAAATAATTTCTAAGGGATATATGATGTTAAGTATAGTATGTATCTATCAGTGTTTTTTTTGTTTTCCTCGAATATTTGAGAAAGTTCCTTTTAGAATTTGAATCAGTCATCAACCACACTGTCCAGCTTGCCATCAATACAAAAATATATTAAAAAAACTGGTCGTTACTATAAATAATTATTATATATTTTGGATCTTCTCAATTTTTGAATTTTATGTTTATGTGATTTTATTAATCAGTCACCAACCAATTATTCTATATGTTAGACTTATACGGAATTTGAATTGATCACGAAGTAAAGTAAAGTTCAACATGCCTCTTTGTCGGAAAGACTACTTTTTCATACCTTAACTTAATAGGTATGTTCAATTCATATATTAACTATATCTGTGTACAGATACATATCTCAACTAAGGGAAAATTCAAATTTACTATGTGCCACCATTTATTTATTTCTTCTTCGTTTTTCTCTCTATCGGAATCACTATTTGAGGATTTTCTAAAGTCCAAGATTCTTTAATGGCATCATCAGCTTGTTCATATTAGCATTTTAATTTTCTTAAAGTTTCTAAATTGTAGTTAGTTTAATAGATTCAGAATTTGAACAGTTGAAATTCCAACCTGAACAAATTCATGATGTAATTGTAGAACCCTAGATTTCTATAAATCTGCAGATTGTGATTCCAGTCGAGAGGAAGAAGAAGGAGAAATGTTGGAAACGTCGTTTTGTCTCAAATTTTAAGTGTTTTTATTCAGATTCAAACGGTATAGTTAATGAATAATGACATCAGCATCTACGTAAGTTACAATAGACATAATGTTAACCACATCTCGTGATATGCATGTTTTTGCACGAAACAAAAAGATTAGGTATTGAATTTTAATTTTTGCTTAGTTTGGGTATGTATCTACACAAAAGTATAGTTAAGGTATGAATTGAACATACCTATTGAATTGAGGTATGAAAAAGTCCTTCTTCCCCTCTTTGTCACTCTGATTTTTCGCAGAATAATGAAGGAAAAAAAAGTAATCTGGAAATTAATAAGAGAAAAATATCGAAAAAAGCGCAAACTTTTAAATTTGGGACCAAAAAAGAATGAACTTTCGAAATGCCATAAAAACCGTAATAATTAGTTTGATTTTTTCATAAAATGGTCAAGTTCTGTTGACTTGGTCATTTCGGGCATGCCGTTAGATTTCCGTTAAACAGACGTTCATGGGGTTAACTATCCGTTAGAAGTCTCCGTTTGATCAAAACGACGTGTTCTATCAATTGTAACGATGTCGTTTTGACCCAACGAAGACTTCTAACGGATTGTTAACTCCGTGAATGTCTGTTTAACAAAAACTTAACGGTATGCCCAAAATGACCAAATCAACGAAACTTGACCATTTTATCAAAAAGTCAAACTAAACTTTACGATTTTTGTGGCATTTTGAAAGTTCATGTTTTTTTTCGTTCCAAAGTTGAAAATTCGAGTTTTTTTCGACATTTTTCCCAAATTCAAAAGTACAATGAATTATACCAATATAACTTACATTTTCTGAGGATCTACGTCTTCGAGAAAACAAACACTCCCTCAAGCTATTGATATTCACCAAATTACAAGAGCTAACAAAGAAGCTTTGTTTAATACCGAACTACATAATATATTAGAAGACAAAGGTGCCATTATTCTCAAACGGTTCGCTAACAACCCGTTTGCAAGTGAGTGAGTGACTCCCTCGTAATCTACTTAATGTATTAATCCTCTTAATGGTCCATATTTTCTTGAAGTTCTATTTGACTAAAGCTTGAACCTCTCCACCAGCAAGAATATTGCCCACACAAGGGCTATTTAACTCCATGATATAATCTGAATTACGTAATGAAAAATATGAAAATTCAGTAACAAAATTTAAATAATGAATTAAAAAATTACATATAATATTTAAATGATTAAAATCGTACAAAAACGATATAT